TCCAGTGTCCATCTTGATAACTCCAGTCCCCACTTCAGATGTCGTCCATCTGCGGTGCTGGATTGCAGTAACCACTTTAACACAGAGTAGCGCGTGTACACCACAACTGGGAATTCTGATCCATGGACCAGAGGTCTGAAAACCTCCAGAGTCCGCAAGATCGCGAGCACTTCTTTCTCAGCTATGTGATAACGTAGCTCCGATTCCTTCAATACTCTACCCAGTAAATCGCACGGGGTGTATGAGTCCTTCATGCTCCTGACCCAGAACGGCACACGCCGCCCACGGGTTAGCATGCGGAATGATCACGAAAGGCTTGGTTCTATCTGGATGTCGCAACAGCGGAGTTGACACGATCTTACGTTTCAGTATCCCGAAAGACTCCTTTGCGGCTTCCAGATTCCGCCCAGCACGTACACGTTCCTCATCTAGTTCGTAGAGCACAGCGGCAACTACTGGTAAGTCTTCAATAAACTTGTTGTAATAATTCAGACTTCCTAAGAAGGACTGCACTCCCTTGTACGTCGACGGGAAAGGTAAGTCCTCTATGCCTTTGACAATCTTCGGCAAGGCCCTGATTCCGTCGGCACTCACTTCATGAGAGAGGAATGGGATGGTCAACTTCCCGAATTCACTTTTCGGTAAGCTCACAGAGATATTCCAGTATCGTAGTCTGTACAACAACGCGAGGTCCTCACATAGTTGGTCCCAGGTCGACGCCCCATGAGCGATATCGTCAATATACGAGCTTCTTCCTAAGACCGGGCCCATTTGTGATGGAGCCAGGATATTGCGTCGGAATATAGTCATGTCCAATGAAGGAATATCTGAATCCCGCATCTCCATTTCAGGTTTCAGGACTTCTTGAGGCTCCAGATTCAGGAACTCCAGAACTTCTGAGCCAACCATCGCTTCCTCTTCGGGAGGTAGCCGGACGAATCCCCACAGGCAGTTATTGATGATGCTCTGATAGATTAGCGGTGCATTCTTTAATCCAAAAGGCATCCTGAGCCATTGAAAGTGGCCGAACGGGCAGACAAACGCAGAGATCAGCTTCGCACGTTTAGTCATTTGCACCGCCCAGAATCCGCTCGCCATGTCGAGACTCATAAACCACATCGCGGATCTGAAGTCTACCAGCAGGTCATCGATTAAAGGTAGAGGATAACGAGATAGCTTGATGAGCAGATTCAGAAGTCGGTAGTCGATGCACATCCGGATATCTATGCCGTTTTTCTTCAGCACAATCACAATGGGTGATGACCACTCGGACTCTGAATGCTCAATGAGCTCTGCCTCCAACAACTTCTGCAGGAGTTCAAACACCTTCACCAAGAAAGGTGCGGCAATCTGTCTTGCGCGTAAAGCCACTGGTTTTGCCTCTCCAACGTCGATATCACACACTACGCCTCTAGCTGGAGCTGGAGCTGCGTTGCCATCTCCCCGGAAGATGCTGCGGTGGCGTTTCAGGATCCCTCTCATCTTGGCTTCTATCTCTGGAGTTGTGACTCCCGGAACTCCGACATTAGCTTCGCCAATGTTACATTCCGGGGTCAGTTCCTCATTTTCCGGGAGCATGATGAGTTGGTCTCGTAACTGCGCCATCAAATCACTTCCTTCCCTGAGATATACGGCAGGTTCCAGGTCCGGTTCTTCAGCAGAGACTCGCATCACCCGAGCATATTCTGCCTTCAGCCTTTGGACCGGTGTCGAACAGCTCGTCTGTGACTGGACACCCATTGACGGTTCAGAGACCTGAGCGTCATTCTCGACATCTGCCATACTCCCTGGATCCAGGGTCTTAACTTCTGGACTCGAGTCAGGATGGGTCTGTCCTACCGGCTCAAGACGGGTCTCAGGCTCTTCGGGGTCTCTCGCGACCGTGTTCATGACGACCGCGGAATTCCCAATGATCTTGAGCGTCATGTCCAATGGTTTCGGCCTTTCTTGCAACTTTA